ACTCTATAACATTCTAAAAAATAAATATTCTATTTGATTGACATTGTATTTTCCTCGTTTTTGTAAATTATAAAGCACATTTCAGGTATTTAAAGATTCGTTTTGGATTTCTCCTGCTTTTAACTAGGCTTTCGGAGTTGCAACATGCTGAGATATTGAGTGATTGTTGCGACAACTTTTAATTATTTAACGTGCTACGTTTGGCACACACAATGCCATCTTCGAGTTGGGCTGCAAATGCATTTTGCATAATTTGTTTGTGCGCTGAGGCGTGCGCAGGCTTCATCATCGTCATTCAGGAGCCCATTCTTATACCCGTACCCATATCATCCCCATACCATTTCCATTCCGATTCCCATTCCCGTCGTCACCGTTGGAGCTTGTCATATCAATCTCCTGGCTCAACCCATTTGCTGACAATTGAGGAGTTGTGGGGTGACGACACTCTATATATGCATGGATATCCCTCCCCCTTCAGTGTGTGTGTCAAACATCAACCCTCTCCTGGCCACACACACTTACACTCTCACTTTAATTTATGTGCCACGACCCTCCGTGGCCCAAACAATGTCACTTGGCTTTTGTAAGCTCACGTGTTACATGCAAATGCGCTTCCTGACTTGCCAGCCAGCCTTTGTTTTGTCTCTTCTTTGGCGAGGGGTTAAGTGTGGGTAAATATTGTAATGATGTATGTGATATCCTTTGTGCCGGGCCCCCTTCTATCATCAGTTGATTGAAATCACTTCTTTATCCCATCCAAAAGAACCCCTTCCCTTTTTGCCCCTTCAGCTTTCCTCAAGTACTTCCAACCACTTGAAGAAATTTTTTCGAAAAAATGCTACATTTTTGCAAACATCTCGCTTAATGAAGTAACAACATGGTTGGGCAAGAAAAAAGTCATTAAAAAATGCTAAACGCAAGTGCCAGGCAAAAATCAATAAACAATCAACGGTGAGGGGGTGAGGAGAAAAATGTAAAAAAAAAAAATGAAAATATGCCTGCTGCAGGCCTCAAGGCTGCAATTATGGTGAATGACGTTTGCCATGTTGTCAAAGGAATTGCGGCAAAAAAATATCACGAAAAAAAAATGAGAGAGAAGAAATGCTGCAGATGAAATTGAAAAACATGTAAAATACGTTGACGATTGCGTTTTTCAAGTGCAGCCGAGAGCCGCAGCCGTCGTCGCATTTCAACTCACATGAGTTCGCTGTATACCAATTAAAAATGCAGTGGACAACGCCCAAAAAAGTATGCTACAAGATGGGATGGCAAATGGTGGGTGGATGTGTTGGGTGGTTGGGTGGTGCAGTAAAAGCGCTCACCATGTGGCGACTGCTGTCAATGACAGGGCAAATAAAATGCAACAAAGCTTGTTGTAAAACGCGCAAAAATGAAAATCAATAGTGATGCCTCTGCATATGTACATATGCTTGTATGTAGTTACATATATGGGCCCTATATAACGCACAATTCATTCGATGGTGTGGCAGGTTTTGGGCCTGGTCAGCTGCTGTTGCTGCTGCTGCTGCTGCAGCCTCCTTTTACATAGGCACATCGTATCGTGGGTGTTTGCCATAACAGCAGCAACAACAGCAATAATCACGGGGAGTGGGTGGTGTAACAACAACATAAACACGGGAAACGGAAACGGACAAGGTGGGGTGGGTGGTGGTGCAGTGGGTGGCACAGGATAATGGGTGCGGTGGCTCGGGCAGGACATTCCCGGTCCATGTTGACGTCAGTCATAGAGCGTGCAAATGTTGACCTACATACAAAACGTTGAGCAAACAGGCGCATAAACGCCACGTTAAACAACTGCAACAACACTGCCGCGCCCTGCAGATAAGTCCGCCTTTTTGCCCAGCTGCCAACGCATTGTTAGAAATTGTCGGAGGACATGGCCAGCCGGCACAGTTAATAGCCCATAGTTTCAGTCACAGCCATAGCCAGAGCCAAATCTATAGTTTTGCATATATGCACTGTCGAAAGAAAATCTGAAATTGAAGGAACAAAAAATCTAGAAGATTCGGAAAACATCTTCATAGAAAGATATTTATGCAACACATCAACTAGATTATATTTTTAATCCTATACTTTAAGATAGTTTTATATACATAAAAAAAAAATCTTGAATGTCACCAGAAATTCTTGGAAACCAAATTTCCTTTAATTTTGGAAGGTTTCTAGTAAGTATCATTTGACATTTCTTTTTTACAACTGAGAACATACCTCACAAATGTTTCTTACAACCTTTTTATATATCTTTTCCTTGTTTCCCAAAAACCCCCAGTAAGTTCCATTTGTTTTCTGTGCACTCCCCTTCTTGTTATTGTTTTCAATACTTACCAGCATCATAATTGTTATGTAGATTTATAGAATTGGGTTGACAGGCCAACGGTGACCAGTGGCCAACATCGGATATGAACCAATCCCAGACCATTGAATGCATCCGAACAATGCTGGCCCGCATTGTGAGCCAAGAAACGAATGACCAACTGAACTGAATAGAATGGAATTTTAAAGGAGCCGACTCGAAAGTAACTTTTCTGACCGAAAATTTACGGCACCACTGGGAAGTTTGCAGCTTTTTGGCACAGGAGTGACCACAAAAGTGCCAAGGCAGCTGGTGCGCCTATCGACCAACCAGGACACCAATATACCAAACTAGCAATATACCAATCCACCAGCCCCACCTGGCCACGTCTAATGATGACGGAGTGGGGCGAGTGGCCCAGAATGAACAGTGGCCATAACGGTTGACGCTCCTCTGGTCGCCGGCGGTGTTGTTTTTGCTGCCCGGTTACTGCATTTACTCCTGTTAACGCTGCCAACGTGTGCAGACACGCATTGGCAGTCAGTCAGTTTGTTAGTTTGCCAGTTTGTCAGTTTGTCAGTTCTTCAGTTTGTCAGTTTTCAGCCAGCCAACCAGGCAACCAACAAACAAACAAGCTAACGCTGCTTGAGCCAAAGAGTGTGGCGGCAAGGGAAGGAAAGGAAAGAGAAGTCCCGAGATCGAAGCTTTATATACCCTTGGTATATACAAAAATTGTTGAAAATATAATATATAGTTGCCCAAAAACAATACTTTAAACAAAAAAAAAACTTAAAACAAGCTGTTAGCTTAGAAAAAAGTATTGTCTTAAAAAAACCCTTCATAACCCTAAGATTAATTTAATCTTAAAATATCAAAATAAGTGACTATTGTGTCAAAAAACCAAATCGTAAATACTTTTATGTCGATTTATCTCGAAAAAAAAATTTGAGAGCACTTTCTTCTTGAATTCAAGAACATTTCTTTTCAAATAAGTGAAAAGACAAATTGGGACCATAAGAATTTAACTTTTTCTGGTCTAAATTTTTCTGGGTGTACATAAAAACAGTTTGAAAATAATGTTCCTTTATCAATGTATAGATAAAAACCTAAAGCGAGGGTATAAAGAGGGCCAACCTGCCACTTTTGTTTCCACACAGCCATGCACAAACGCTCACCGGGACAAAACTCAATGAGTCAATGACTTTTTGGTGTCGCTCGTTGATGCGCAACGCGGTCCCGTTGTCATTAGCAGCGACACCAGCACCACTACCATTGCCACCCCGAACACCATGACGCTCACAAATGCAAGTCACACACACACACAGATACAGAGATACACAGATACACTGGATCCTGGCAAACAGGACTCATGAATATGGTTACTCTTACTGTTGCCTGTTGTTTGCTGGCTGGTGTTTCGGTGTTTTCGCTCGTTTTTGGCTGTGGGAAGTGCTAACGGGTACGAAATAAATTTGGCAGGCAAACACGTTTTGGCTTATGTTTTATTGTTGTTGTCTTTGTTGCGGCTGCGGCTGCGGCATCCACTGTCCTTGGCACGCCTAATGTGGGCCAAAACCAGACCATCCGCCACCCCTTGGCCGCTTTTTACGCATTCACGCGTCCCAAAAACAAAAAATTGGCCAGAACCAAAAGACCACAAAAAATCGCTGCAGTGGGAGGAATACCAATAACTTAAAGTACTTAGTGTTTAAGGGGTTTTGAATATAAAATCAAATTTATTCATTAAATATAAACCCCCAAAAAGCAATATTAATTTTTTTACAAAGACCATTTTATATTTATTTATTCCAGAAACTTTATTCAATATTTTAAATTTTATTTGGTAGTACCAAAATTTGAAACAGATTTATAGAAACCACCTCATACTATACACAATCCTAATATTTCCTTTTCATGCCTTTTTTGACTCACTTTTTACAGTGTTTGCGATTCGAAAAAGCACATTTTGTACAAATATGTGTTATGAATCTTGGCAGCTGCCTGAATGCGATGTTGTTGTGGCTCTTTTTCCTGGTACAAGTAGATACCCCCCCCTGCTGTTGGCCATAATTTCCCCTGATGCTCATTAGCAAAAATGGCCAAAAAAGTAGACAACATTTATGCGATGGCAGGAAGGGACTTAAGTGTGAAATTGCTTTGCATAATGCCAAGTAAATTATGCGAGCAAATATTGAGTCCATTAACTGGGTTGCCAAGAAAGGAGTTACCAACGATTGAGTTATTAATTGAAAGCAACTTTGTGGGATGCTCTATTAATTGAAAGTAAATGAGATTGTTAGCCCATTCCAAATATGGAAAAAGTCATCAGTGTCAGAGAGAGTGAGTTCATGATGCCTAATCTATGCCGATGAAGATGAAGCTGACCGAATAATTGAAACATTGAGCTAGGCACTCACGCATGTGGCTGCACCGCCCAACCACCCAAGCAACCAACCACCCACTGCCAACCCAACCACCCATTTATATACCCAACTGGTCCAGTGTAAACACAGCTGTTTTGGAGGGCTCGAGAATCATCGTGCCTAACCACAGACAACAAATGGTGGTGCGCATGCGCAGAGAGCGTTCGGAGTTGGCGGTGCTGCCAACTGCACCACTGAAATGCTATGGAGCCACCGAAGAGCCCGAGAAATGGTCGCCGCATCCGGCAGTTGCTGTTCGAGGCTCGAAGGATACGCACGGCTCTGGCGGACGACGGAAGTTGGATTGAAAATGCATCGGGACTGAGTGCGAAAGTGAGTGCGCGTGTGGTGAATTTCCGCCAAAAGAGAGTCCGGAAGAGAGCCGAGAAGCTTCCCTACTTGGCCAGTAAGAGCCACTCTCCTAACTTGGCCTAAAGTTCGTTTCGGCGGCGCGCAGTCAAGTCGAGTCCTTGCTGGCAATCGGTTGTCCTGGCGGGAGTGCTTTTTTTCGTGTAGCACAGTGTGCCGGCACCGGGCCATGCAGTCCCCCAAGAAATAACATCAAATCATCAAATCAACAAATCACCAAAGTGAAAACAAAATCTTAAAGATACAAATGTGCCAAAGAATGAGAGAAGAGTCAAGTGTCTGAAATGTAAAACCGCTCAAAAGTGAAAGCCAAAATCAAAATTGTACAAGTCACTGCCCCAAGGAAATTCCGGAAAATCCTGAAAAAGAAAGCTCAGCTTAGCAAACAACCAATCCAATTAATATCTAATATCGAAATTTAAATTCAAATCAGAATCAAAACAGAAGCCGGAAAACATGTGGATTAGTAGCCGCTTTTTTGTGATTTTCCTGCTGCTCCATCTCGGTAGGTGCCACCTTTCTCTGAGGGAAAAACTCTGGGAAAACTCTTAAGCCGGCCTGCCGGCATTTTGGGCGCCTCTTCTTGGTTTTGCCCTAAGTCGCTCGGCACGCGCCTCAAAGTATGCTTAGTGCCTTTTGTTTTTCCACCGGCTGTGCGTGAGATTTTCCTACCATAAGTCCCAACAGCTGTCGGCTTGTTTTCCTTCCCTTTGCGGATCTCGGTTTACGCCTCCGAAACGGAACTTATTATTAAGTCTTGCGAGTAAAACAAAAGGATTTGGGGCTTTTGCGGGATAACCATGACGGCTTAGGGATGAAATAAGGAAAAAAGCGGGCAAGGAATTATCTCCAGTCAAGGCAATTACTCAGTTTATTATCATTCAAAAGGAGATCTTCAGTGCCGCATAGACCCCTGAATTTATGGTGATTCATACGAGTGAGGAGGTGCCATAATTTATATGATATATTCAAGTGTCTTTGGGCCAGAACTAAGTGCAAATGACTTGGTCGCTTTATGGAGCTACCAGGACCAGAGACCATAAAATTGCCAACCGAGCCGGCAAAACTAAAGCCCAAATGCCCCAACATAATATGAAATTGCCTTATGATAAAAACCAGGCGTCAATTTATGCCACACAAACGACTGCCCCAGCTCTATGTTATGTGTGTATATACAGAGAAAAAATATTTTTGAAAAACTAGTTCTTCATTTACATACGCTTAGAAATCAGTAATTTTTTAACTTTATTTGTAAAATATAGTTCTTAGCAATTTACTCATTATTTTTAGTATTAATTGACAAATTAAAAACAAGGAAAAAACTTAATTAAAATACGTTTTAAAAATAGTAGTTTTTGAATTTTATTTGCAAAATTTAGTACGAGTATTTGGCATAAAATTTTAATTATTACTTTGCAAAATAAATTTTTAATATTATTTTACGTATGACATACAATAAACAATATTTTTATTTATTTTAATTAGGGCCATAAAACCTTATCTCTATTACCTAAAGCTGATTCTACAATTTTTGTTTTTTATAAATCACATTCTTTTTCTTCAACTAATTTTCTCAGCGCATTTATGAATGTGTGTGCGGGACAGCCTAATGAAATGTGTCAGGAGCAGAACACTCGATCGACCCACCGACCTTTTCATATCCGGAGAGCTGTGTGCGCGGGGCGAAAACCTCTTTTGGAAATTTGATATTTTCCAATTTCCATTGCCTACTCTGCCATTCGATGGCGACTGGCTTACATGTCTATTCGCTACCAAAAAAAAAAAGAAGGAAAAAATGATCAAAACTCCGCACAGATATTTCATGTTCCATACTCACCCACAAACACATATATTCGCACCCTCGTCGGAGCTGTGGCCAAATGAAAAATATGCAAATGAAATTGTTGCTCAATGTCTAAGCGCACACACTTTTTGCCCTGGGTTTGTGAAGGATGGCTCACATTTTTCGGTGTTGTTATTCCATTTCCATGCAGATAATCATAAAATATAATACGTTATATAAAATCAGCAGCACCGACAACAACAACGATGGCTCAAATCCGATTAGAAGCGAGCTGGGGAAAAACGTTTGGGGTTGTGATGGGAAAATTATGAAAAATTATGGCCAACGCCAAAGTTTCCAGCACACTATGATTGATTATGTTTTAAACCGTTTATGACAAACGCTTTAATTTGTTGTAGGATTAATGAAGTGCAAGGGATAAAGTTTAAATTAAATGTTCACCAGATGGCAATCTAACTTAGAAAGGCCGAATGGATCAAGAAACTTAGTTTCTGTAGCTGGCATTATTAATGACCTAATCAAGCTCATTTTAAGTCTGCTAAACTTCTACTCACAAGATAAGCTAGTTGCAAGTTATAAATCATATTCTTTGTGTTATTCAATCCAATATTTGTTCTGCTTTTGGAATGCTTTAGAACCTTAGCGTTCAACTTAAAAACTTTTCATAATTTTCGTTTATAAGAAATATTTTATGTTTGTATCTTTATATTTTCAGTTTTGGTATGTAGTGGGTATTAAATCAAATGGAGATTATGTTAATGTTTTAGTAAACTAGTAATATATTTCAAAGTCACATAATTATAATAGAAATAAAACAGTTTAAACTTAAAATACAATTGCTAGGCATCATTTATAAAGATAAAAACGTTACAAAATATTTCAAAAGCTAAAAATATTCCTATAAGTTTACGGACTTGGGACTATTTCGAACTAAAAAATTTATTTTACAATGTTTAACTTTTAAGAGAAAAAGACACAATAAAAAAAAAACTTGGGAATCACCTAAAATTTTTTGACACGGCCTTTTAATTTATGTAATTAAAGAAAGGAGTTTAATTACAGGGAGCTTTTAATACTTTTTCTTGTCTAAAGCTACACGCAATACACAGTTAAACTTTACACAAAAAGACCAAGTATTGTAAGCTGTGTACTTTGTGAAATTTCCACGTGGACCGTTTAAGTTCACCAAAAATTCACTCCTGCTACCCAATATATTCCATTTTATTTCTTTTTCTTGTTTTGCCAAACAGTTCGCCCAACAAAAGATTTTGAACGTCTTATTGAATCCGTCCTGGCTTGGTCCTTTTGCCACCCGAATCCTGTGTGCACTTTGAGCCAACTGGAGCACATCTTTGTGGAACTCTGGCCAAGGCAGCAACAAAATCAAGTTATTTACAATTATTATACGTTTCGTGGCTGTTGTTGTTGGGCTGCGCGTTGGTCTGTAAACGTTTTAACTTCTTTCAAGTTTTCCTCCCATTTTCCTTTGGCCAAGCAATATTGAGTCGATATCTTTGGGTGTTTGGGTCACGCCTTCCTGCCGCTTGTTTTTGCGCATAAAAATTGAATTTCCTGTATTTTTCGAGCTGATTGCTTACAAGGTTCGTCCCCCATTTCCGGCCAGGGGCCCGGGAATTTCTGTGGTCTTAAAGTGTGCTATATATACATTTGTATATGTATTTTTTTTTTTGGCTTTAATGGGTGCCCTGGCTTGTCCCTTGGATGGTGGGCCATTAGAAATATTACCACTGCAGTGCAAGCCGAATGCAGACACATTGCAGCCAACACAGAACATGCATCACACCGCCCGCCTGGAGGCAACGAAATAATTTCGAAAAGTGCCAAAAGGGCATAATCCAAACAGAAAAAGAAAAAAATTCGAAGAGCTGGAAAAAAAAAACGGAATAAAGAACACACACACATGGAAAATAATGTCTGAGGAGCCTGGCAAAGTAACCCCTCAAGACTCGCACAAGTGGATGGGAAACACATTCGGAGTGAAAGGAGTGAAATGTACGACACAAAACGAGCGGAAATGCGAGCCAAAAAGAGGAAAGGGTTAGGGGGCGGGGGCGGTATGTGAAAAAGGGGGCGGGGCCGTGTCCGGGGGCAGTTGCACATGCAGACGTAGAACCAGAGTTCCATGACTGCTGCAGGTATAACACAAAAACCGAGCTGGAAAAACAATTTGGAAAAGAAATTTGTGGCTAAAAGAGACAATCTAAATGCGCTTTTGCATTGGCCAAAGAATGCTGTCTGAATTGATTGGAGCACACTCAATTGTATCGACAAAGGGGTGGTGGTGATTTTTAGTTTTGTAAATCTGCAGATTATAGCATTAGAAAATTATCACATTGGCAGTATGTTCTATTGGCTTTTATAATCGAGTATTGACATTATTAGTCAGAATAACTACAGAACTTTAAATAAAACAAAATTACAAGTGTGCCAATAATGATGCTTTTAAAAAATAGGGTTTTAAGAAATATTTGCAGAAATACTTAAATTTCTTAGGTACATTCTGTTAGGAATTCGAATATTATTTTAAAATAATATGTAATGGCTAAGCAATAAAGAACACCTTAAAGTTTAGGATTTTTAATTTTTTTTATATTTGAAATGCTCAAAATTTGCAAGGTTTATATTAAATACCTTTCAAAAAACACCAAAAAGTAGAATCTTAATTTTTGAATATGTATTGGAATAGGCTGAACGGCAAGGAAAGAAAAAATCGGAGTAAGAACAAAGCTCACCCACACATGCACACATGCAGGACGTTCAGGAAGAACACACGCACAGGAACACGGAGAGGGTGGACTTTTTTTGTTTTCGCAGGAAAGAATAAAACCCCTACAAGTGGATGTATACACATGCCGACTCACATGCACCCAACCACATACGTGCATATACACACATGGGATCCTGCTCTAAGGCACAAGCTCGTAAAACATACCCTTTCTACCAAAAAGCTGAAAAAATGAGAAACGAGTGCCGAGCATACTCAAGACATACTTGCAATAATTTTATGGCCTGGCAGAGGCCTCGTCTTTATCCGCATTCTGGACCAGGAGCTATGGTTACACAGAGGAAAATAGATACAACACAGACTACAATCTGATATATTTCAAATATTTTCAATATATTTTAATTTTTAATTAAGCATTAGCTAAAAAGCATTAAGTAACTATTTACTAGATACTTAACTTTTTTAATGGTTTCAAAACTCTAAAGTTTTCAGTCGAATTAGTGGTCAAACACTTTTAATACTTTTTTTTAAATTTTTGTACAAATTTTAAAAGTTTAAAATACTTTTTAAAGTACACTTTTCGTGTTGTTAGTAATAATTTTTACCAATTTTTGTACAAAATATGTAAGTTTAAAAAACATGAAATATACCAAATTTCTGGTTGGTAACCCAACTAAATATTGATAAAATTAAGACCGATTTTCACCATTTTTTCTGTGTGATCCTTGCCGCTCGAGAAGCTATGGTGAACCATGAAATCAGCGGGGAAAAGCGAAGTGGAACCATCTCGGGAAACGAGGCGATGAGACAGACGGAGACGAAACCAGAAAGCAGTTACATAAAAATCCATGCTGTCGAGCATAAAACAAAAAGCGCCTGGCCAGGCACAACAAAAAGCATACAAAGCCAAAAAGAACAAAACACAGAAAGGCAAAGTTAAAAAAAAGGGGAAAAGGAGGAAAAAAACAAAACCAACAAAAAACAACTCTAATTGCAGACACAATGACTTGTGGGGGCGGGAAATACGGGGGAGCCGGGAGTCCTGGGCAGGATTCGTCCTGGAGATTGAACGAGTTGCAAGGATTTGCACAGCGCCGCAGGGAAAGATGCCCGCTTCGGTGGCAGACAGACAGCCGAGGCGCATTCATGTGGAATATGAAGCGAAATGTCAATTTGGAGAAATATATACATATAGATAGATATATATGTATATATATACTCCAACCATCCTGCTTATATGTACATATTTGGGTCTGGGGGCCATTGGGAACAGAAACGGAGCGCTCGAGCTAAAGACGAAATTGTTATTCTAATTTGGGATAAGGCTAAATCTGTTTGCTCGCGAAAGGGGCTCTCTGATGAAACGAAAACGGGCTTCGAATGCGACAATGGCCTGGGTATTATAAAAAATGTAAATGCTTATTAAAGTGCAAAAAGGTCTCAAGGGATTTGCACACCCAAGAAGGCCAGCGGCCTTTTTTTATGAATTTTTGATATCTCTCAGGGATTATTGCTTTTGTTTATGGCAGCTCACAATTTTAATATACGATTGGGGAAAGATTTTCATGCATTTTTATGCGGTTTGCAAATGATGTATGGGTCAGTAAAAGATTTTATGCCCATAAATGCATATATTCAACAGAAAATGTAGAGCAGCCATTTTATCTACGCTTTTACGTTTTTAAAAGTTTCTACTTTAATGGCTTTAAATGCAACCCGATGTGACATTTTTATTAAACATAAAAAAAGTATACCAAAAAAATATTTCATTTTTTTTTGAGACGTTGTGGCTAATCAAAATATAATTAGAAAATTAACTTAATTTGAAAGAAAGATATTTGAAAGATAATTTGTTGATAAATTAAATAATCTCAAAATTTAAAATGAATTTGACAATTGTTGGTGTATATAAGTGTTTTTATCATTATAAATCTCAAAAATTGTTTTCATAATAAGGGAAATACACAGATTGGTAAACAATTTTTGGTGGTTTTTAGTTATGAAAAAATATTATAAGTTAAAAATAAATTTGACTTATGATCGAAGGAATAGCTGTTTCTTGCATTTTAGAATGAAAAAACATGTACAAAAATCCAACCAGAATCATTAAACGAAGTAAAAATAATCTCCAAATTTGAGCCGACAAAGCCCTTCCTTTCCTAGAATTTCAGTCAAGGGACACATTTTAAGGATAAGCTTTTAATTGCATATAAATATTCCCTAATAATACTTATTAATGATAATTTGCACATTCCAGATACCACCTGCAGTGAACCGTTTGAAGCCCACCTGCGCGGACCCGGATTTGTGATGGAGCCGCCCGGGCGTGTGGAGTTCTCGAACTCCTCGGGCGGCTGGCTGGACTGCTCGGCCTCCGGAAGTCCGCAGCCGACGGTCGACTGGGTGCACGCGGACGGTTCGGCGGTGACCGAGATCCATGGGGTGCGACGGGTCCTGCGGAACGGCACCCTCGTCCTGATGCCCTTCGCTGCGGCCGCCTACCATCAGGATGTGCACAACACGATCTATCGCTGCATTGCCAGCAATTCGGTGGGTCGCATCGTCTCGCGGGACGTGCAAGTGAGGGCGGGTGAGTGGATACGGATGGCGGAGTGGGCGTGGCAGCATTTAAAAATATATATATGTACTTACTCCTGCAGTCGTGGCCCAGGCCTACAAAGTGGACGTGGAGGTGCTATCTGCGTCGCGGGGCTGCACCGCCATCCTGCGCTGCGTGGTGCCCACGTTCGTCAAGGAATTGGTACGAGTGGTCTCGTGGGTTCATGAACCCGCTATCTACATCTATCCCTCGTTGCAAGGCGGTAAGTTACCCGGGGCGTCCTTCTGTCGTCCTTCTGCCCACTGCCAGAAACCGAAAGGAAACGAAACGAACGAAGCGGAGCGGAGCTCAACTCAGCTCAGCTCCGCTCAGTCTGCATCTGCATCCTTGTCCCTGTGGCAGGAAAGCCAACAAAGTGCATTGTTTGTTTGCAGTATTTGCCTCACATGTTTGCCTGCTTAACTGCCATTTTCATCCGCACCTGCACCACTCTCCTTTGGTCCTTTGGTGCATAATTAACATTGTCCTTTAGCAATTTGAGACGAGCTTTTGGCTTGCTCTAACCCACTCCTCCTGGTTGTCTATATTACAAAGGACATTTTCTCCCCTTTTTTCAAAAATCGTTTTATTTTCTTTTGCCCGTCTTTTGTGGCGGGTAAACTATTCGGAAAGGTCAAGAGTGTCTGGCGAGAGATTTAAATCAGAGCCAGGCGACATAATAGAGGCATCCATCTTGATTAATCCTGTCAACAGGGCTGGCTATTCAGGGTCTATGTCTGGGATTTTATTTATATTCCCGTAACATTATCAGTTGAAAATGCCTTGTTACTCTTGAATACGGTTCGTTTTCTATTTTATTTGTGTTTTAAAAAAATTTGATTTTGGTAAAATTGCTTATAAGGCATTTTTTCATCATGGTTAATAGACTTTAATTTAAGGCTTTCCTTCCCAATTATTTAAAAATGCCTTGGCTGACTTTGTGAGTAGGTTTCTGGCAGCGGTTCTTCGCAGGTTAGTGTTCTTCATTTCAGCACTTCTCTTTTTTCTTATCCTCTAGATGGAAAATTCCACTTGCTTCCCACTGGCGAGCTGCTCATCCACAATCTGCAGGAGAGCGATGAGTCGCAGTCCTTCCGCTGCCGCAGCATGCACCGCCTGACCCGCCAGGTGGTCGTCAGCTCGCCCACCCGACTGCGTATTAATTGTGAGTATACCCAAAGCCAAAAACCGAAAGACCCAGACCCCAACCAACCCGAACCGGACCACACCAATGTCACATATCTCTCCATCATCTCTATCATCTCTCGCCGCAGCGCATCGCGGCATCATTTCGCCGAGCGTGGTGGAGCACACGGCCCATGTGCAGGTTTCGCAGGACGAGGGCGCGGTGCTCCTGTGCGTCGCCCAGGGCTGTCCTTCGCCCGAATACAGGTGTGTATAGGTGCCGCAAATCGATGCCATCCACTGGCCCACCCACCCCCAAAAGGACACCACCCATTCACTCCACCACTCACTCATTCGCTCATTCGCTCGCTGAGAGCTTTAGCACACATTTCTGGCGAAACTTTTGACGTTGACAGGTCCTGGCCGCACAAACACCATAACGCTGGGCTATTAGTTATTAGTGCACTGGGGAAAACTGAAGGATCTTAAGTCATTGATTCAAGAACTCTTTATTCCTGAAATTCGGAAAGTTGTCAATCCTTAAATACTTGCACTATAACCTTTACAATGTGTATATACTTTCAGTATTTTTTGGATGTCTTTTTCATTTATTACTTGTTTCACTTAGCTGTTGTCCTTCTTCAAAAGATCTTAAGACATTGTTTCAAGGATTCTTTGTTCTTGATATTCGGAAAGTAATGCATCTTAAAGCATTAATGTCCATAGTTGGACTTTAAAATCACTCAGACTTCCTGAAATGCATTATTTAAGGGCATTTTCCCCTGTGCAGTGGCAGTTATGGCATAGTGGTGTGAGTTAATTGGAACGCATACATCTATAAAATGTGCGGCCAGGGCATTTAGTTTGCCAGCCAAATAAATAAACAACCGCTCTAGGGGTAAAAATAGCAGAGTTCAGCGGTGGAGACTCCTAGCTGACGTGCACATTAATGTGTAAAATGTGTCTAAAGAGTTGGCAACGTGTTGCCTTAATTGAAATGTGAGCTAAAAGCGTTAGTTAACTTTCTCGACGGCCGACGGGTCGTATGCGTTATGCAGCGTAACGTACACCCTGGTTTGGGTTTGGGAACAATGGCCCAGGACCTAGGTAATGATGTGTATATAGGTACGGGATAGAAAGTCTGCAGCCACATCGAACACATATATATATATATGATGTGCCCATAATTACGCTTTGATAAGCAGACAAGTAATGTAAGATCCGAGGGGTTTGGGTCGTAGAACGTGGTACAATGTCAGACTGCTGACATAAAACAAAAGAATCTATAAGCAGCGGGATGGTGGGGCACACATATAGATAGATTGCTGTGCCAGGGGAAAAAAAACTTGTAGCCATTTCATAATTAATACAACAGTGAGGGACGAGGTCCTAGGAGAAGAGGGATAATGAGCGAGGCAAAGGATTAATGCAACATTAAACAAAAGGGCCCATCAGCACAGACATGAGGGTATGGGAGATATCGGATAAAGAATGCCAAAGGTATTCAGTCCATCAGGCCTTGAACTTCGCTTGGTTGGCTGATAGTTGCAAATGAAAACGCCCTTCCAATATTTTGCAAAACTTTGACAGCTATCAGATGCTAGATTTGTTACAGGAGACCAGATGGTCCGTGATAAATGGCCTGCAGTTGCCCAAAAGCTAAGATCCATTAATTTAAGTCTGTCTGGAATTGTATTCTATGCTCAAATTACAGAGCGAAGTTCTTAATTATAAATGAACGTACTACATACACAGGGAAATTAAACAGATATCTAATATATATTAGCTTAAAATATTCAAATTTCATTTATATTTAAAACCCAATACTGTATTCAAATAAATATTTGTGGGAGAATTTTCATTTAAAACTAAATTTAAGTAGTTTTATCAATGTAGCTCACTTTGTAATTTGTATTTCTGGTGCATAACGAACTTTTCCCCAACTGCAATGAATAATGGAATAGATTGCAATAACCACAGCTCTTCTGTTAGTTTCTTTTTAAAATTTTCCAATTGAAAATCACGATTAATGGAGTCGATTTACAATAGTCTGATCCACATAAATCTTTCACTCTCCCCCTGCTTTTCCCATCTCCCCGCAGCTGGTTCACCCACAATGGAGCTGGACCCCTGCCCGTCCTGAGTGGTCCTCGTGTCCGTTTGCTCGGCCCCATCCTGGCCATCGAGGCGGTGACTGGCGAGGATTCCGGAGTCTACAAGTGCACGGCCGGCAATGTGGGCGGCGAGGCTAGTGCCGAGCTCCGCCTGACGGTGGCCACGCCCATCCAAGTGGAAATCTCTCCGAATGTCCTCAGCGTTCACATGGGCGGCACGGCGGAGTTCCGCTGCCTGGTCACGAGCAACGGCAGTCCGGTGGGCATGCAGAACATCCTGTGGTACAAGGACGGCCGCCAGCTTCCCTCCTCGGGCCGCGTGGAGGACACGTTGGTGGTGCCCCGAGTGAGTCGTGAGAACCGCGGCATGTACCAGTGCGTGGTGCGCCGGCCCGAGGGCGATACGTTCCAGGCCACCGCCGAGCTCCAGCTGGGAGGTGAGTCCAAAAAATATCACTACACTTGGGAAAATAATCTTAATTTTTTACTTTAATATTGATTGTATTTTTCTTTACAATATATTTTTATGTTACTATTCTAGAGACTTTTTAATTTAAACATTGTAAATATAATATATAACTTGTTATATTGTTTTGAATTTTTGTTACTTATTTAAGAAGTAATTCTACCTTTTATTTATATAATATTTTGAATGAACTTTCACATTTTACAATTTATATACAAGTCTGTGACAAAAATATCAACAAAATATTTTAAAAATAGTAGTGGAACCTAACGTTATTGTTTTCTAGTAAAGTAAGGCCTAGAAAACCTGACAAATTTAAAAAAAAATTCAAATATTCCTGTAAAATATATATTTACATTTTTTTTTATAATAAATCTACAAAATAACACAGACTTTAATTTTAAACTTTATGCCATAGTCCTTAGTCATATGAAGGATTCCTAGGACAATTTTTAAATTCAAAATTACTATATGTTTCTGAAGCTTAAAATCTACTTTTAGTCAAACATATGGATGAGAAACAATCTTAAATATTTTATTTAAAAATCTAAATTTTATTTTTCTTACTCCTAAACCATTTTGTTCCCTATTTCGAGGACTATAATACTCCGTAAATTGGACCAGCTTATCGTTAAAATATTAATGCGACCTCTTGCCACCTTATCCCATCCCCCAGATGCGCCGCCCGTCCTCCTGTACAGCTTCATCGAGCAGACCCTCCAGCCAGGACCAGCTGTGAGCCTCAAGTGCTCCGCTGCCGGCAATCCTACGCCGCAAATTTCATGGACACTGGACGGATTTCCGCTGCCATCAAACGGAAGGTAATTGAACTTGTTGAAAGGGGGCGAAAGGGGGTTGCACAGGGGGTTGCATAGGGGGTTGCATAGGGGGTGAAAATATAGGGTGGGGTTCCATGATGGGCTTGGCAATGGCAACGCAGAGGCGGCGCTGCGGGCGCCCAGCAAAAATTTATCTCAACTGCGGCTCCCGACTGTGGCTGCGGTTGCATTTATTGCACTCGTTGTATGTGTGCTGCCTGCTTTTCCCTCCATATTTTCCTTTACTTTTCTCTTTTTTTTTGCGCTTTCCTTTCAAAAACATTGCCCCACGAATATATAGAAAAACATATACATATATAGAAAGTGGCTGCCGACTGCCGCGCCTACAAAGGTGGGTGGTTTGGGTCGGCCTCGTCTGCTCCAGCGTTCATTCACTCCTGTTCCAGCGACTGTAAATGTATCTGAATCCGAATCTGAATCCCAGTCGGTATACGTATGTATATGTATCTGGGCTTGCGTCTGGCCCAAGGTTTCGACTTTGCCTTTCTATTTGTTAATTAAGCCCGTTTGGGGCCGGCAAAACCCCATGCAGTAGCCTTACGCATTTAATTGCATTTTTAGCTGGCCCGTTGCCAACTAAATTGAATCGAATGCGGCTCTTTAATGACATTGACATTTGCATTGGCCGAATAAAATCGAAGAGATCGGATCAAATTGCATCCAGACTTCACAAATAGTTTGGTTGGCTTTGGCTCCAGTGTGCAGGCAAATAAAATGCAACAGCGAATCGATTGATTGGCAATTCGGTCTGCGACATTGTCATTGGCATTCATTTGATTTTTATCGTACTCCCTTACCTGCTGGTAAAATCTATTTTTTCTCCATTTTTTTTTCGGAGTTGCGGCAGTCCTGCTTCATTTGCAGTTCGTTGCCAGCTGCCACTAATTGTTTGAGTTACGTCTGTAATGATTTGCAAGTCAAAGTTTTCGCCCCTTTCCACTGTGAACTTCTGTTGTTGATTAAAAATACCATCAGCACCATCAGGAAAATCAGCAGCGTTTTATTTGCACTCGCTTTTTGGCTTTTCCTCTTGCCTAGTGATGCGAATCCAGCGCTCGAATAAAGTAAAATAAAAACTAAGGCTACCGTGTCCTGATTGTTGTCCTGCGTCGCCCAGCTGTGCAATATTTTAATTAAAACTTATGCAATATGTCGAGGGCAGGAGACGAGATCCCATCAACTTGATAGGACAGTGGGTTTTAGAGATTTCTAGAGGATTCGTCTTGGGTGTACCTCTTAATTTTGATGAATATATGTTAGACTTAGGAATAGCATTTTGTTATAAATATATGAATTTCTACAAAACACTTGAGCTGTCAGTTTTTAGGATAGAAACCTATAGTAAAATCATTTTCCAAAAAATCAACAAACTTAATTAGACGAGATTTTTGGTCCCTAATATTAACCGGAAGACATCAGGCTCCATTGGTCGTAAGCCATTTAAAAGTTCGTAAAAATATGACTCGATTTTATGCATGTAAAGCACTTAAAACTTCAACTTGGGGCTGTCGACGACATCGCCATGAATTTGCTCCGCTCAAGTGGTCATCCTTGGCAGGATGCTTTGGTCCTTCGACCAGTCCACTTGAGTCAAAAAGGAAAAGGAGCAGGAAGATGGCTTGACCACAAGGCAAAATTGATTACAAAAATTTGTGTGTTATGTGGTCGGTGTGAAAATTTGCTTTCGGAAACTTGTGTGCGGACATGCAGACGCCGATGGCTTTAATTTAAAAGTTATCTGAGCAACACAATTTTGACACATAATACCCGCAGGCATTATCCAGGCGTCGCTGGCAACCTAATTTGCCCGGATGGCAGCATCCTTCGCAATGCTGCAGAAATTCTCCTGCCGTTTGCGTTGTTATTGCCGACTTTTAAGTGGTTTACATTATTCGGTTTAAAGGTATATCAACTTGGTAAGTGTATTTATTTAATACACAGACATACACAGACAACTCGGAGTGGCAGACAGACAGACAGGCAAACAGGCAATGGGGAAATGGGGAAATGCGGGGAAATGGTCGGAAAAGCGGAGGAAACGGGTGGAGGGGCAGACGCCTCGAGGCGGAAATTAAATGATTGCGCGCACGAGGTAACGCAACACTCAAACGCTCATTTTACGCCATTTTCAAAAGTTTGTCTGCGGCGGTACCATGCAGAAACTCAGGCCCACACAGCTGAGGAGGCGTCTTTCTCCAGCTTTCATCCAGCTTTCCTCCACATTTCCCCCCAGATTTCCTCCGCTTTTCCTGTGGAGCTGCCAAGACGCCGACGACGGAGGCGTGTGTGCGTGATGCGTTTGTCTACAACTGCAGGCGTTATGGAAATGTGTGTAATTTTGGCCTAAATGAGAAAACGCTTAAGTTGCAGGAGAAACGCTTTTAAGCCATATAATGCCATGTGAATTAGAGTGAACCTAGGATTTAATTAAAATTTTAGAGCGTCTGAACGCTGTCTGATGTAATAGTACTTTATATATTTAGGTATACGTGCATATCTATACCTTCACATTAAGAAGATCCACTTAATTTTGGAACACAATATATGAATTTTGTTAACGTCTGATTTCTAGTAAAAGGTTTGACTTTTTTTTATAAATCCATAAACCCAATATGATTTTGTGCAATACATTTGTAACTTGTCAAGAATCACTGGTAAATGGATATTTAAGAACTGATTTCACATATAATCCGACGTCAAATGATACCTTTTATAATTTAATAACTAATATTGTTAATTATTTAAGTAAATTTAATAATGGCAAATCCTCTTTGCATCAGCTAAAAGCGGATTCTGGGTTTTTATGAGCAAATAATTTGAAAGATTGGTTTTCGATTATAGCCCTGTGAAGGTCCACCCTATTCCGTATAAAGGATCGCTTAATCTGTGCTTGCGAACTAACCTGATTGGGATCCAAGTGCAAACTCGATTCGTGTAAATTGAAATTCATAATTTTTGAAAACTTTTGCCACGAAACTTTTCGCCTTTGCCGCATAAGAGGGCCAAACTGCAAGTGGCACCTACTGAAATTCTTATTCCTGTTTCCCCTTTCTGGCTGGCTGGCTGGCTGGTTGGCATTAAGCCACCCACAAAAGCTGGGCACTCACTCTGCAATCAGCTAAAACAGCACACAAAAGCCGCGCCAAGCTATTAGGTTTATATTGTTGCAGCCAAAGCGTTTTACGCTCCAAACACACACTGGCAAACATACACAGTTCAACTTTTGCAATGCTGTTTAAGCCGGCGTTGTGAGGATGCGGATGTGGATGCGGATGTGGATATGTGGATGCGGATGTGTGCGACTTTGTTGCAATTTTGTCCTCGCCATTGTTTCAATGCGCTCAAGTGCTGCAGTCCACGACTGAATGTCTCCATTTCCCCCCAGAAAAACGACTCCCTTTTTCATTTAACTACAGTTGCTGTTTTTGCAAGCCTGGGCACACTCCATAAAGATTTTTCGGCTTGACTTGGCCACTCTTTCTGGGGCGAAATCAGCGTTCTCTGTGCGGGCTTATGCATTCATAAGCCCCACGGCCATTCCCCCACAGGCCGCAGGATGCGGCTGCTGCAAAAGTTAATTAAAATTGTAATTACTTTGCCTCCGCCATTATTGTTCCGGCTCTAGATTCAACTTCAACTTCCAACTGCGGCCGTAATGCCAATTGAAAAGTTGCCACCGAGCCGGGCCACAAACTAATGAGCCGGCGGGTGCTGCTTGGCTTAGATCCCAATCCCCAACCCAATCCCCAGCCCCATTCCCATCACCATTCCATATATAAGATGCCGCAAAAGCCGATTGTGTGAGTGCCACATGGCGTATGCGTAACAATGTTGCCTGTAATTAATGTCTGTGCCAATAAAAGGAGGCGAGGCAAACAAAGGAACAAACGCAGAACTTAATGCCGACTTGAGCGCTCCGTGAAATCCTTTTTGCACTCATTATTTGAGCCCGGGCGTTACGGCCGCATTAAGTGGAAGTCGTTTCGTGGGCGTGGCACATGACATTGACAGCAATATGGAAACTATGCTAAGCCCCGACAGCTCGACTGACAGCCTTCATTACGACTAAATATGGCAACGAAAAATGGGAAAAAAAACGTCAAATGCGAAATGCGAAAAACTAGCGCAAAAATACGACAAAAACAAAATGAAGCCTACAGCCAAAAGGATTTGGGTCAGGCTGCATTTTTGAAGTGTGCCTAGCTGATGAGTGTGCAGTGGTGTGTTTGTGTGTGGGGGTGTAGTACGCTTAACAACAAGAAAACCATTGTGCAACACCGAACACCCGCACACATTGCGCATACGCCGCGTGCAACCGCTCAAAATCGCAACCAACCCAATATTAATGTGTTTTTTGCGCCCTCATCCAAAAGCATCCTTCTTTTTTTGCCATTGCAGATTTATGATCGGACAATACATCACCGTGCATGGCGATGTAATTAGTCATGTTAACATAAGCCACGTCATGGTCGAGGATGGCGGCGAGTACGCCTGCATCGCCGAGAATCGGGCGGGACGAGTGCAGCATGCGGCCCGCTTGAATATTTATGGTATGTTGTATTCACACTTAAGGTTTCAAACAAGACACTCAGATGCACAAGGAAAAAATATCACCAAAAGTAAGGGCCTTAATGGCTTAAGGTAAGGTTCCTAAAAGGAATTTTGTAAAGTATTACTTTAATTATGATCTGATGATATGATCTGAAAATATTTTATAATATGTTTATTACTTCAAAATTTAAAAAATATCACTTTTTAATTATGTCCACAAATTTACTAAAAATAAAAAAGAATTCAAAAATTAAATTAAAAATACAGACCTCTCCGACTTTTAGAAAATTAAAAAATAATCAGAGAAATAAGATACGTGTTAAAATAATGGTACATTTTAATTTAACGAAAACGAAATATAACGATTTTTGTATTATTTGACATGATGTTGACATTAATTTTGTAATCGTTCCTTTTTTTCTATCCTTATTTATAATTCTGATATAATAAAAAAATATTATATACCGAAGTAGAAGAGAATACTATATAAAAAAAACGAAGCTATAATTATTTTCCAAATATTTTCCCAATAACTATCCGATCGTTCCTTTGGAAAGTAAATGATATAGTCGTCCGATTTTTTTTAACACTTAAATGAATTTTAGTTGCCTAAAAGTATGCAGTAGGTAAGGGAAAGACGTGTTTCTGAACGGATTTTATTGCATACTCTTAGACATTTGAACGTGATTGCGAAAGTCTTTATAATGTTCCTGATTGACATTGAACAATTTTAACTTTAAACTCTTCATATTTTAGGACTAACCCTAGGTTCATTACAATCCCTGGGTAATACAAAATTGGTAGCTGGCAACTCAAGACTGTTTTTTATGTATTCCCCAGTGCAGTTCCCTTGGCATTTAAAGAATGTTAGATAACCACTCAAGACTACTTTCATACATTTTCCCTCTGTGCAGATACAAATATGGCCAGCTACTTACATATGCACTTAAACGTTCTCCCGGCTCGAGGCTGGCTCCTCTTTCTTTTTGGCATTTGCCTACTTTTGCTTGATTTTGTTTTACAACACGTTTGCCATGTTCTTCGTTCGGTTCCCCCCGCTTTTGGCCAGATCCTTTGGGCCAAGCCGCCCCTGTCCCCTGTTCCCCCTTCAAGTTTACTTTTGAGCCTTTGCAGCAGTGAAGTGTTGTTCGAGGCGCACACTTTTGTTGAACATGGCTCTCGGCTGGCTGCAGTGCTTTTTCCCTTACAAAGACCCCAAAAACCCCCCTACTGCCTCTGCCAGTCCGAAAATCCACCCATTTTCCATTTTCCAGCAGCTCCCAGCAGCACGCGCAACATCTGCCTTGTTTTTGCAAGAAATCAAATATTTTTGTGTCGCCAGGCAAACAAAATGGCGTTGCCAGCGAGAAGGAAGAGCAGGAGCAGGAGTGCAAACACAAAACGACAGCGGCGGCAAAAACTGCGCCATGTTTACAAAGTTTTGCAGTGAAAAAGTTGAAAAATAAAGTCAAGTAAATTCACGAAAAATCCCTACTCGACTAAACGATGCTCTGCTGGTTGGATGAAAAAATAATAAAAAAAAAGAAATGGGGGAAAATCCCTGTTCCCTGTTCGACATTTATCACCCAAATCAAATAAACCAAGGGGCGCCTTATCCTTGGGCTAAAGTGAAAGACCCAAGTGATTTGGTATGATAATCAAATAAAAAGAAAAAAAAGTGTGTCACAAGTACTGCCAGTACCTTCCTACCAAACTCTTTGACAATTTTCGCATACCCTGCCAACCTTTGTTTGCCGCCGCTTCGCAAAAGGGGGCAAATGAATCCCGCTGCCACCATCATCATTTAGTTTAAAGCTCGGCGATGTCGCTGATTGCGCGACTTGGTAATGGCGGTGATTACAAAAATCTCCATCCACATCCACATCAACTCCGCGGAGAGCACGGACACAGGGACCACGTATGACATGCTCGAAAATTATGCATATTCCGCAGGAAAAAAACACTCAGCCCAAGCCCACAAGGCAACCAGAGGCAAGGACTCCTCCAGCTGCTGCCACCGACCGACAGTTGCTGCATTATTTCCTTCCACGTTCCCGAAAAGTGTTTTGGTGGAGGCGGTGGGCACGGGAGACAGGACGAAACCAGCCAGGATATGCATATTACATTGTGCTCCGCTTCCTGTTCTCTGCACAGAGGGAAATCATTTATAAAAGATCATGAGGGATTTTATAACATTTGATTTGCTGCCTATGTTTAGGAAATTATTAATTTTTAGAACTTGAAAACCTCTTTCAATTAAAATTGAAAACATAAAAGTACCTCAAATTAAACAAAACTGACCCCATCATTAAAAAACTAATAACTTCAAATTTAAGAAAAGATCTTTGGTATGTTATTAAAAATAAGAACACATAGCCTTATTCTATTTAAATTATATAAAGCCATTACTTTTTTATTGAGTGTTTAAAATTGGGAAAAAAAAAAAACTGAACATGAAACTCGATTGGTATAGACAATATCGTTTTTGAGTATAATAGGCCAATACGTTTATTAAAAGTTTGGCAACCAAAATATTAAGGATAGTTACAGACCTTCGCTACCTATAGACTTGTTTCACAAACATTTTTTTCAGGGTCCAGAAGCAGTAATCAAATATTTAGCTTATATTATATATATATTACCGATATATTATATTATACTACATTATAGATACACATTTTTCATATTTTGGAACTTATGGTGATATTTTTTCCCAGTGCATCTGTTACTTGTGGTATCTGCTTTTGCCGCTGTAGGTGTAGTTGTTTGCTGCATTATTAAAAAAGCAACGTGCGCGCAAATCTGTTAAGCATTTCCATTCCCCCATACATTCTCTCCATCGCAGGCTCTTTACTCACCATCTGATCTGACTTTTTCCATCACAGGTCTTCCCTACATTCGACTGATTCCGAAGGTAACCGCCGTCTCCGGCGAGACATTGAATCTGAAGTGCCCGGTTGCGGGCTATCCCATCGAGGAGATCCACTGGGAGCGGGGCGGACGGGAGCTGCCGGATGATATACGACAGCGGGTTCAGCCGGACGGCTCGCTGACCATCAGCCCGGTGCAGAAGAACTCGGACTCCGGGGTGTACACGTGCTGGGCGAGGAACAAACAGGGTCACAGCGCCCGGCGGAGCGGCGAGGTGACGGTCATAGGTTAGTATGTGAAACCGGGTGTCTCAAAAAACAAAAAACCAAAAAAAAACCGAAACAAAAAAACTAAAAACCCAAAGAAAACCCAGGAAAAACCAACACAACAAAACAGAAAAAAAAAACTAGATGAACAAGAGGAGGTCGAGGTTGGTTTCTTTCACAGCTTTTTCAGCAACGATGACATCAAGCAGCGGGCTACGAAACGAAGTGAAAATTGCATTTTAATTATTAACAGCAAACTAAGTAGTTTCCTATGGCGCTTCAAGTTGTTCCTTTTTGCCAACCTTTTTGCATTTCTTTTTCACGTCTTTTTTTGGATTCTGCTTAATTTTGTTTTGTTTTGGCTCTCGGCCGGGTGTGTATATGTACTTTTTGCTCCTGCTGTAATTAAATATGCGCAATAATCTAAGCTTAAAAGTTGGTAAATTAAAAAAAGAAAAGAAAAGGGAAGCTGAGGGAGAGCAAAGCGGCGAACTGCACCTTTTTTTTCATTAGTCTTTCATGTTAATGTTAATGAATTTGCGCCCTAATGAAGCGGCGGGCTGATTAAATTTTCATAAATCGCGACCTTTTCTGCCCGACTCTGCTCCTTCGGCTTCCCACTTGTGGCTCATCAATCCTTGGCTGATCCCTTGCAGTGCCGCCGAAGCTCAGTCCCTTCCAAACGAACATCCTGCAGCTGAACATGGGCGATCGGGCCTCGCTCACCTGCTCGGTGGTGAAGGGCGATCTTCCCCTGACCATCAACTGGCGCAAGGACGGCCGCCCCATCGATCCCACCCAGCATATGTCCGTGAAGCAGGTGGACCAGTACAACAGCATTTTGGTCATCGAGAACCTGGGCAGCGATCACACCGGCAACTACTCCTGTGTGGTACGCAATTCGGCCGCCGAGGTGGAGAACTCGCAGGCCCTGCTGGTCAATGGTAAAAATAACGAAATAACGTTCGACTTGAGTCCGAGTTAACCAGTTATCCAGTATCCGTAATCCGTAATCCCGTTTAGTTGCAAGTAGTTGAGTTTCCTTTCGTATGCACTTTGATTCATGTACCATGTAACACAGAACCATTGAATTGCATATATATACATATACTTATATATATATTCATAAGATCCTTGCTATCCTTTGTAAATGATGTTTCCACTTTCGGAATGTTTGTACAAGATTAAGTAGCGTTTTCATTCGAATGTGTTAACAAAACTGCGAAGGTTTACAGAGCGTACAAATTGATAATCAGCAATCAACAATCGGGATATCCACATAAGTACCATATCATCATCGTGGGAATCGCAGGTGTCTCCGCTCAGGTGTCTTCGCCGACCAGTGCCAATCCTAACCCGTTTCGCCTGATCTTTCCTCTTGCAGTGCCGCCGAGCATAGAACCGTTCGCCTTCCAGGAGGGTTTGGCCGAGGGCATGCGGACGAGGACCGTCTGCGGGGTCTCCAGGGGCGATCCGCCGCTGAAGCTGATCTGGCTGAAGGACGGTGACCCGCTGCCCGACCTTTTGGGGGCCAATGTCACCATGCTAGACCAGTACAGCTCGCTGCTGAGCATTCCGTCGCTGTCGGCCACGCATTCCGGCGAGTACACGTGCGTGGCCAAGAATCCGGCGGCCGAGATCAAGTATACGGCCCTGTTGCAGGTCAAAGGTAGCGTACTAGCGTACCCATCAACACAGACAAACACCAGACACATGAAGAGAAAAGCCCAAGAATATCAAAGCCATTGGTTATCGAAATTGTCTATAAATCAAATTACTTCGAAATAAAGAGGTTTCAAAACAATTATTGTACTGCCTATAAGTATGCAATACTATTTTCATATGCAAAACTCGTTCTTGCTTAAAAGCATGGATTTTTAAATGTCTTTGGTAATAATCAAAAATATTTAAATACTTCAAGACACATGACCCTGGTGTTAAAATATCTTGGGTTTAATACAAACTATTTATAAAGAATGTAGAATTTATTGCATACTTATGTTACAGTTGCCAAATAAATGTTTTCAAATCCTGAGCGTCTTTCAATAACCCCCATAAAGAGGAGTTCATAAAGAATATAATATATATTTCAAGCCTTTTTTATATACGATTCGATAATACCACAAATGGCGATATTACTTCTCTTCACACACAATTACCAATAACACACGCATACAAACAAAACTAAGCGAACTTCACTTGCCCCTCAATAACTTTTTGCTTTCCCGCTGATGTATTCAAGAACAGCTTCTTAATGGTATTTTCAGTTGTTGATGATAATTTTTGGTTGATTTTTAACAACAAAAAGAAAACTAGGCTGATCAAGCTTTTTTTGGGCTCTCGATTAGCTCCGGCGCAACTGAACGTTGCCCAGCCCGAAGGCGCTTTGATTTTTTGACTCTCACTAAGAAAACTCCCCCTAACTCCATAAAAACGTACCGCTTAAAAACCCCGAAAACCCCACTAATCTACAATTAAGAGTTCCCCGCCACCCTTAAGTCGCTTTGGCACGCTGTGGGTTTTTTTGACAACCGTCTCACCAGGTAAACCGTTTTAACTGCACTGCTTCTTATGCGCTTCATAACCAAAAAAAAATCTAACAAATTACGTATAAAGCTTATGAATATCTCTTTTGATTTGCTGCATATTATTTAAACCGCTTCTTATACGACAAGTCGGGTTTTTAGATGCATAAATTGAGTGCGCTCTCCTCGCCAAGCGAAATTCAATTGGCGGTATCTCATTTTGGCGAGCTTGGAGGGCGCACAGCATTCGTGATTAGCTGTAATTTATAATTTATACAAATACTCTTGCATAAACATGGAAAAATAAGCTGCTTTAAGATTCATTTGCCTTATTCGCTATATCCTTTTTTGGTGCTCGGTCTGCAGGATAAGTGCAGAAACTGCTCCGCTACCCCTGGCTCCTCTCTTCATTTTTGACTTGCAGCTTCCGAAAAACTCCACTTCATCTACTATGCTCAATGTGCTGTGCTTAATTAACGAACGAATAAACAAGGCGAAGGCTGAAAAAGAATGAGTTCGCATTAAAAGCCTCGAATCCGCCCAAAAAATCCACCGAAGATGCCATGAAACTCGCGCTTATGCTTCAATTTGGTTTTGGCCTCTCTAATCGCTTACTATATTTCCACACCGAAACAAATACTATTTTTTTTATAAGAATATCCATTAAAATGTAAAACTAAATAAGTTTTTTTATATGATCATATCTGAGGAATTCATTAAACCAGTTAATTATCTAAAAAAAAAAAAAATTTTTTTAGATCAAAATATATAAATTTATGTTAAAATAATTATAACATTTAATTTTAGAAATTCAAAGTTAGAAATCTTTTATATTTTACAAATAAGATACATTTCCATCTTTGAATCTTACGGATTGATCTGAAGATGTGTATTTGTCTCGGTGTACACCCCTTTCGCTTGTGTGAGTGCCTGATTGCCTGTGTGTGCGTGTGACTGACAAAACGCTTAAACATAATCCTATTGCAGAGCAAGCAGAATAAAACCACAAAAATAAAGAAATGAAAATAAATTAAGGAGAACGAACCGAAAATAAATGGATAAGAAACTTAAAGCTTCGCAGTATTTGCTAATGTAGTTGAGAATGGATGTTTTTATCTAGAAAGCGGCCAGCGAGCTGCACTTTTTGTTTCTGCATGCCGACTGTACATAGTAGATATGCAATTTTTAGTTTGCTCTGTGCCATCTGCATGCGCGTAGTGCTGTGACAAATGAATTTTAATTTCCATTTATTTATGATTTGCTTGCTCTCCTCTTCGTTTTATTTCGTACCATCCAACTCGGTTCTTAAGCTCTGGTTTTAATTCGTTTTTGGGTTTTCCTCCTTTCACACACAGACTGCTCCGTAAAGCTTTTCCACCCGATTTCGCCAGCCATCCAGTCCCGGGGGTGGGCAATTATATTTATTTTCATCTGCCGAGCGGAGAGCTTGACGTACACAGTTTTCAAAATATAATTTATTTATTTTGCCAATGCCCCATTTCCCGGGCTGACGCTGCTCTTGTTGTGTGCAAAGATTTTTTTCCGTATTCGAATTAGACACGCTGTCCCCAAAAAAAAGGAAAAAATAACCCCAACCCAAAACGCTTTGTACTATGCAAAAAGTAATCCCTGTGAGAAAAAAAAATTACCATAATAACCAGAAATCATTTTAATTAATACTTTAGCCCTGGGCCAGATGTTAATTTCATTTGGAGCTCTATAATTTGCTCCTTGTTCGGGTTTAATTTTTAATTAAAATTTTTCATTTCGTTATTGCTGCACAAACAAAGGCTGGCAATTAAATGCAGCTGCTAAGTAAACATTTTATAATTTATTGAAAACGCCAATCCACTGGAACGGGCGAAATGGTGGGTTGCATTTTTTATTGAAATCCCATTTTATTGTTTTCGCTTTTTTCGTGTTTTGTTAGCTGCGTGTCCAACTATAAAACTCACACCATGTTCCCATTTATGTTGCGCATTCTATAATTTCTATGCAAATATATTTTCCATTTCGCTTCTGGCATGCCTTTGTTATTTAATTTATGCGCCGAATATATAACAGAACATATTAAGCCTTTTTTGCGATTTTTTCGAACAACCATCAAAGAACCGTGAGGCACAGAGCGTGGGCGAATCAAAGAAAACACACAAAAGAGAAAGCGATCAATTTGAACAAACGAAAAAGAAAAATAAAAATAAAATCCTTGCACACCAACAAATCAAATTATAATTAATTTACCCCACGGACATTCCTAAACGATTTTCCTTAAACATGAACAAACCCCCAAAAAGAATAAACATTTATTTTTGTTCCATTTTTGACTGAGTTGCATATGAAATTCTTTTTGTATTTGATTTTGAAGCAAACCACCCAAAAAAAAAACAAACTATCCTTTTGTATATTAGTTGAAAAGTTCCTACTATATTGCTACCACTATTCAACCAGTTTTTTACATTTGTGCTAGGCACAATGAAAATCTTAAGATCGTAAACAGCAAAATTCTTTTATGCCGTTTTTTACTTTGCCAGAACTCTTCACTTTTCCTCTCTGTCTCTGTCTCTCTCTCTATAACTCTCTCTAAGAACCATTACTCTTACTGTATGTCTTAGCAGTTTTAATTTGAATCATTCGTTCTGCGCTCCCATTTGAATTCTAAGTAAGCTAACTAACTCTTCATATCACGCATACGCCCCGTAGTGCCGCCACGCTGGATTGTCGAGCCCGTGGACGCGAATGTGGAGCGCAACCGCCACATAATGCTGCACTGCCAGGCGCAGGGTGTGCCCACACCCAGTATAGTGTGGAAGAAGGCTACAGGTAAGACTCCTAAACTTTCAGATAGTGTATCTACAAAATATGACAAAACAAGTTGATAAGTTACAAGTGAAAAAGTCTTAAACTCAAAAATGATTTATTACTTTAAAGTTAAGTTTTGTAAAATTCGTTAAAAATATAAATATAGTTATATCAAGAAATAGTCTGTTTAACTTTATGTGGTTTAAGGTAGTGTCATAAATATTAAGCTAGTTCATTAATACTTTAAAAGAGAGAAAAACAGTTTAAAAGTCCCACCAATAAAAAAAGGAAAAGTATACAAATATATATATTTCGGATTACCTATTAACATAAAATAACAAACATAATATTCTTTTAAATAATTAATAGAAACTTCAACGGTTAAAAATCAGAGCGGAGAATATTTAAATGCAATATGAAATAGTTTAAAGTATAGTTTGAGTGCATGTATCATATCATTAACCCACATTTTTCCTGGGTCTTCAATGTCTCCCCTCAGGCAGTAAATCAGGCGAGTACGAGGAGGTTCGCGAGCGTCCCTTCACCAAACTCCTTGGAAACGGGTCCCTGCTGCTGCAACACGTTAAGGAGGATCGCGAGGGCTTCTATCTGTGTCAGGCCAACAATGGCATCGGCACCGGCATCGGAAAGGTCATCCAGCTGAAAGTGAACTGTGAGTATTTCAGCAGGGGAAGGCGCTGTGGCAATTTGGTTAATTGCACTGCCGAGGCCCCGGAGGAATCACGGCCGTAATTAAAATGGGCAAAATGCTTGCCATTTCCAGCCTCGCCGTACTTCTCCTCGACTTCCCGCTCCGTAATGGTGAAAAAGGGCGATACGGCACTGCTCCAGTGCGCCGTTAGTGGGGACAAGCCGATTAACATTGTTTGGCTGCGCTCGGGCAAGAACACACTGAATCCATCAACCAATTATAAGTAGGTGCAGCTTGAAGTATCCTGGGAAAATATAACTAATACCGCTTTCAGGATCTCCGTTAAGCAAGAGGCCACCCCGGATGGAGTATCCGCCGAACTGCAAATCCGCACGGTGGATGCCACCGATAGTGGTCCCTACTTCTGCCGGGCCAGCAATCTCTATGGAAACGATCAGCAGCTAGTTCAACTGCAGGTCCAGGAGCCTCCTTTGCCACCCAGTGTCCTGGAGGCGGCGATGATCAGCAGCCGTTCGGTGAACATCAAGTGGCAACCCAAGACCATGGGCACCGGTGATGTTACCAAGTACCTGGTAGAGTTCCGCGAGGCAGATCGTACGTATAGGACCCCGTTTTAGTGTTGCTTATAGATGATTTATATGATATTCCTTTAAATAAGGCTCTCTCCCACCAGCCTTGTTTGTGGAGCAGTGGCAGCAGATCGAGGTCAAGGATCCGCCGATGTTCAATGCCATGATCGAGAACCTCAAGCCGGCGACTCGTTACGCTTTTCGGGTGATTGCCGAGGGTTCGGCGGGTCGAAGTGCACCCAGCCAGGAGCTGATCGTTCGTACGGAGCCGCAGCGACCTGCGGGACCTCCACTAAGTCTCTCGGCCAGACCCTTGTCCTCCACAGAGCTGCTCATCAGCTGGGTGGCTCCGTTGCCGGAACTGCGACATGGTGACATTCAGGGCTACAATGTTGGCTACAAATTGTCTAGCTCGGGAAATACGGCCTATAACTTCACATCCGTTGCCGGGGATTACGATGGGGGTAATGGAGAGCTACTGCTCAGCGGACTGGCTAAGTTCGCTAGATATAATGTAGTGGTGCAGGCCTTTAATCAGGTGGGACCAGGACCTCTTTCGGAACCCACAGGCGCTCAGACAATGGAAGATGGTAACAATCTGTTCTTAATCTATTTAGAACAACTAGACACTAGGCACTTAAAATCTATCATTTTAGGTGTCTAAAAGTATGCTTTATATAAAATAAAGTCGTCTTTCTGAACGAATTGTTCGTACATCTAAGTTTAAAAAATATATTTTTGCATACTTCTTGGCACTTTAAATAACTTTTGATCGTAATTTCAATACGGTAGTGATTTCAGTGGCACCATGAATAGTTTTATTTTGTTTGTTTTCTTATGAGTTTTTGAAATTGTAATGTAATTTTATTACAGTACCCAGTCGCCCTCCAGAGGATGTTCGCTGTGCCGCCTTGTCTTCCCAATCGCTCCAGGTGTCCTGGCAACCACCGCCAATCTACCACACGAATGGCCTGCTGCAGGGATACAAGCTGGTCTTTGAGCCCATCATCGATGACATTCAGCCCAGCAAGGACGAGGTGGAGTCCAGGAAGACCACAGCTCTTACTATGGTGTTGACAGGCCTTCGCAAGTATACCAACTACAGCATTCAGGTTTTGGCCCACACTCGAATGGGTGATGGAGTGGTATCGAAGCCATTGTTTTGCCACAGCGAAGAGGATGTCCCAGAGGCTCCGGCGGACATTAAAGTGGTCTCCAGCTCATCGCAATCCCTGTACATCTCCTGGCTACCTCCAAACGAACCCAACGGAGTGATCACCAAGTACAGTCTTTACACCCGTGTAGTGAACGGTCGCGAGGAGTTGAACAATGAGAAGCGTAGTCTGCCCTCCCAGCAGGCTTACTATGAGGCAAAGGGTCTGCATCCCCATATGGAGTACCAGTTTTGGGTGACGGCCAGCACTCGAGTGGGCGAGGGTAAAAGCTCTCGGGTGTCCTCACAGATTACAACAAATCGTGTGCCTGCCAGGATCATATCCTTCGGCGGTTCCGTGGTCAGACCCTGGCGGTCCACCGTAACTCTTCCCTGCACAGCGGTGGGTAAGCCCAAGAGGGAGTGGTTTAAATCGGACGTGGCCCTGCGACAAGGTGGCATGCACAACTCTCAGTTACTGGACAGCGGAGATCTGATCATCTCCAGCCTGCAGCTGGCCGATGGAGGCAACTACAGTTGCCAGGTGGACAATGGCATCGGCACCGATCGATTGACCCACACTTTGATGGTCCAAGTGCCACCCACGGCGCCCGTTTTGTATGTGACCAGTGCCACCTCGAGCAGCATCTTGATGCACTGGAAGTGCGGCTTCACGGGCAATGCACCCATCACCGGTTACACACTGTTCTACCGGAGGACCAATGGCAACACGGACGAGATGCAGTTGTCACGACATGCCTCCAGTCATGAGCTCAAGGGTCTGGTCTGTGGCAGCACGTACCAGATCCACCTGAGTGCCCAGAACAAGGTGGGCACCTCGCCCACCAGCACCATGCTGCACGTGCGCACTCAGGGTCAGTCACCTGGCCATCCTGCCTCCACTGCCCTTTTGGCCCCTAACTCGACCTCGCTTTTGGTCCGGTTACACTCTTGGCCGGACAATGGATGTCCTCTGCTGTACTTTGTGCTGCAGTACAGGGCAGTGACCGAGGATCCGGACGCTGAATGGGTGCTGGGTGAGTTTTTCGATGCAGATTACAGAGTAAAAAGTATTAGTCCAGTCTACTCCATACGATTAACCTGTTTAATTTATTAGCATTCATTTTATTTATAAGTAAATAAAATAAAAAATGTACAGATTACAGAGTTTTTAGTATAGGTTTTTTAGCATAGGTTGTAAGCTGCTCAAAACAGTCACATTTTTGGCAAAAACCTGAGTATCGTATTTGAGTATCGTATAATCTGAACCCTATTTTTTTGCTCTACAAATTCCGTTTTTCGGCTGCAATAATAAAAATAAACTTCAGAATGAGGAATGTCATACCTCGTTGAGCTCGTTGTTTAATTTCCAATCCATTGGCATTTTAACTTGGAAATGTTTAATTTTTACCATTTTTCGCAAAAAAATATGGTGCACCCACAAAATTTCCGGGAAAGTGATGGGAATCGTTAGCATAGGAAGCAAGCTGCTCAAAACAGTCGGTCTTTTAGCTGTACGCCTTGATTTGGGTAAACTACGTCTGAAAAACCACTAAAAAATTAGTATTATTGAGCAAACTCTGAATCCCAAAAAAACCGGAGGTACCCCCTTATAAAAAATGTGAAAATTGGTCAAAAAATTAATTTTGAATCAAGTAGTTGGGATCGCTAGCTAAGATAGCAAGCTGCTCAAAACAGTCGGTCTTTTAACTTTACGCCTTGATTTCGCTAAACTACGATTAAAAATCTGGAAAGAAAAGTCGCATTTTTGGATAAAATCTGAATCTCGTATTTTTGACAAAAATCTGAAGGAATTTTTTCGCTCTAAAAATTCCGTTTTTTGGCTGCCACAATAAAAATAAAAGTCAGAATGAGGAATGTCATACCTCATTGAGCTCGTTGTTTAATTTCCAATCCATTGCCATTTTTTGCAAAAATAGAATAAAAACCCTTATAAAAAATCCGAAAATTGGTCAAAAAATAAATTTCCGAGGAAGTGATGGGGATCGTTAGCATAGGAAGCAAGCTGCTCAAAATAGTCGGTCTTTTAGCTGTACGCCTTGATTTGGGTAAACTACGACTGAAAAACCAATAAAAAATTAGTATTTTTGACCAAACTCTGAATCCCAAAAAAACCGGAGGTACCCCCTTATAAAAAATGTGAAAATTGGTCAAAAAATGAATTTTCTATCAAGTAATTGGGATTGCTAGCATAGATAGCAAGCTGCCCAAAACATTCGGTCTTTTAGCTGTATGCCTTGATTTCGCTAAACTACGATTGAAAAACCGCCGAAAATAAGAGTATTTTTACTAAAATCTGAATCCCTTTTTTTGCTGTTATATCTAACAAGTATTTAACATCCTCTTATAGTATCTAATGCCCTGAAGCCTCAGCGCCGCATAGTGGTCAACAATTTGACACCATCGACCCTTTACCAACTTCGCATGGAGGCACATAACGTGGCTGGAATCTCGCAGGCAGACTTCACATTTGTGACCTTGACCAAGGACGGGGATCCACCACCACCGGAAATCGTGCATCGTGGCCATCGCGGTCAAACCACAGTGATTTTCGCCAATATGAACCTGCTCATCCCCAGCATTGCGGCGGTCTCGGGAATGTTCTGCACCATCATCATGGTCATCGTGTGCTACAGACACAGTAAGCATAGCCATACCTTTGTGATTAACTGCATTGATCCACTAATTGACTCAGTGCTTAAAAATGCACAACCGCACGCAGAACAAGCCAATCACATTCAAAAGGAATCATTGGAGAATAGAGCCAACTCAGAGGCTGCCCAGCGGGAACGCTATTATGCCACCATTCACAAGGTGTCCATGCAGAACAACGATAAGATTCCAGGTGAGTGTTTGGTTACCAGGGGTGTCACAGAAATCTCAGACATATAATGCAGTGTAAATTAAAATGTTAAAAATATTTTAAAATGCTTTAACGACTTAAGAATGAATAAATGCATTTAGAATTTCTTTAACTGTGCAGATGGTTTTGCTAAAATACTTTAAAGTAATGAAAAATACTATAACGAACCTTTATATTTTTTTTATAAATTGGTAAATATGATCAAGTACCACACTACTTAGGAAGGTAGTAATATATTTGGCCTTTGGTAGATGTATTGATGGTGAAAAAGGGAATTAATTTTCTGAAAATGTCTACATATGTAAAGAGGGTAAAATTTTAACTTGAGAACCAAATAGGAATTCCAGGAATCAAACCAATTTGCTTTTTAAGCGTTTTGACACCCTGCTTATGAGACAGGAAAACCCCTTGAGATTTCTGTGACAGCCCTGGCTGTATTGTCCCCATTGATCAGCACCGCTCACCGCCCGAGGACTTTTCGCAGAAACCTCCGAGGACATCTCGCCGTACGCCACCTTCCAGCTGTCGGAGGCTGGGGGCAACATGTCGCAGCCGCACCACGGTGGCCCGGCCAACACGCTGCTCCACTCGTTCATGTACCACGAGCGGGCCCTGGCCGAGGGCTGCTCGTCGCCACCACCAGCCGCGGTACTGAACCCACCAACCACCACCCATCACCACCACCACAACCAACGTCCACTAAAGACAATTCATAATTATTATCAGACCTCACCGTTCCATAATATCGTGCGTTTGTTTATTCATTTCTTTGATTTAGCTCTCCCTCTACTCTACTATACTCTACCGTACTTGTACTCAACTTCCATTGATCAGTGTGGTCCTGCCACAATTAGTGTTTTCCTAAGTGTACTACGTGCTTTTTATGTTGTTCTCTGCTCGTGTATTTGTTTGCCCTTCAGTTCACATTAATTGCAATGCCGTAAATCATGCCCTGGGGCTGACCCCCCGGATCCATGTCAATCACTTGCCAATCTTGAGTTACCCCTTCTTTTGTTCGAGAAGCGTTCCAATCCCAGGCGCTTTTGTAGTCGCTAGATGATATGTTCCCGGGGGAAGATCCAGAGCCCGACTAATTTTCCGCTCTGTTCCATGTGCAGTCCAAGAACCGGAGGCGCCACTCACGGAAGACGGAGCCGGAGAGCGAGGAGTCGGAATCGGACCAGGACCAACTCACCTCCAGTCGCACCGAGTCCTCCAATCAGCACGAGGGCAAGATCAAGCACAGTAAGTCCAAGACTAGGGTTTTCCTGTTTTTAATTGGATGCATTTGAAGGGACTACCCAAAGGGCCTTTCTTCAGATCATCGAAAAAATATGAAGTATTCTTTTAGTTTCTATCTGCGGTGAAAGCTGTGAAATTAAAATATTTAATGTCATGTTGAATTTTAAAATAATATTCCTGTGATAAGATAGTCAAAAGTGAAATCACTTAGGTTTTGAAATCTCTTTAAAATTTAGTTATATGCGTCTAAAAGTATGCAATGAACAAAGGATGATCCTCTTTCTGAGTGAATCTACTGTTAAACATATTGTTGTATACTTTTAGACACTTAAAATGCACACACTTTTACAAATCCATAAAAATTATAGAAAGCTTTCACTGCAGAGTTCCTTTGTTCTCAGTTCCCAGGCTTTTAAACTGCCCGCTGAACTCTCTTTTTGTGTTGCTTTGTTTTTGCAGACTCTAGACTAATACAACACTTTCCAAACCACAATATCTCGATAACATATCTGTAGTAGGCCAATCAGACACAGCACCAAAAACTCTACACCAACAACTAAGATCAGGCCAACAAATAAGACTAAGCCACCCGATTTGTAATTGATGGTAGCATTAAGTTAGCCATAAGTTATAATTTTTTAACGTTTGTTGTTCCCCCTTCCAAAAAAAAAAGAACTCTCTATCAGCCCGCTCTTTATTTTTCTGTTCTTTTCTTCCCCACTAACATCTCCGCCTGCGCTGCGATCCACCATTGATCCGTTGATCCGCTGTTGCGACTTGTCGCAGGCATCATCTACCATGGAGCACAGTCGAGCACCTCCTCCGATCTGTCACCAATGTCCGAACAGAAATCATTGCCCCGCCGCGGTCGCTCCAGGTATCATCATCAGCAATATCAGTTTTCCACCAATACCACACCGCGCCACCACAACAGCAACAAAATGAACAACAACACCACCAGCAACACGAACACCACAGCCACCAATACGACAGCCACACCATCGACATCGAGCAATTCGAACAAAATTCTATCGCCGCGCGGCGGAAATCTGAAATCCATATCGAGCACCTTCAAATCGCAAGACTCCATACAGTGCCACATACCCACATTGGTCAAGTCGCCATCGATCAGTACACAGCAGCAGAAACAGTTCCACAAACAGCAGTTGCAGAGTAGTAGTAATGCCCAGCATAGTAGCTCCTCGAATCCGAACAGTAGTAGTTTGAAGCAACAGCAGCCCCTCCTGATCACGCCCAAGCTCCACCAGCTGGAGGCCAGCAATGGCCAGGAGCTGATGGGGCTGGATGGGATCGGCAATAACCATAGCCCGTTGGTAGCCTGCATGCCGCCCTCCTCACAGTTCCGCCCCATCCCGCACAAGTCCATAATGCCCGCGCATGAGCCACCGCACCACCACCAGAACCACCAGCAACCACATCCCCAGCAGCAGCAGCAGCATCCGGGCACGCTGCTCAACCCCTCGACGGCCATGCTCTCCTCCAAGTTCTTCACAGCGCCCACGCTGCCCAAATAGGATACGGCCAATGGGGGGAGTGAGTACGTTGGTGGTGCCATGGAGGCCATGGACGGTTTCGGCTACGACAGCGGCGAGATCTCCTGCACCTACATGGACCCAATAGATCAGACATGAGACCTGGCCTACGGTGAGGTGTGTGGTCCCCCCGAGGGGGCCCGTTAAGGCCGCTTTTCGCGACATGGTTGATCAGATGAGATTCGAAAATGCCCCATATTTGAGAAATACTGACTATCGGTCTCTCTCTTAAAGATACATTTCAAGGTAATATTTATTATAAATTATATTGGATATGTTTTGGAATATATCCCCTGAAATCCCATTAGGTTTACATTTCAAAAGTTAAAAATCACTTTTGAAGGTGCCTAAAAGTATGCATTGATAAATCTTTCTGCATTTACTAAAAAATAAATCATAGCATACTTTTAGACACCCTTTTAAACCCACAATCCCTTGAGATACAAAGTAATCCATATCAGATAAAACCTTTTTGAATATTCTAAATCAAGTCCTCATCTGATGAACCAGGTCGTGAGAACTGCGCCCACCCACGCACACCCAACCACACAACCAGACTAGAACTACACCACTAGGTCTTTAACCGAATGAATGCTTGAATGCTGTGGTTGCAATCAGAAAAAAACTCCAACTCTGGACCCTTTCTTGTACTTGCACCCCCTCACCCCCCAACGATCGCCACCCACCACCCTCCCACCCCCCGAAAAAAAACACGCATCCAGGGCCGGCATCCTGCGCACGCTGCATCCGCTCCAGCTGCAGGCCGAGTGCACCACCGGGGCCTTCCACCGCACCGAGGACGGCGGTGGCCTGGGCGAACGGATCGAGCTGGCCGAGGTGGAGGTCGATGTGGATACGATTAAGAAGTTGAAGCTGGGTCAGAGGTCCTCGCTCTGGTCGCGACCCTCCTCCACCACCTCCCAGCTGCAGCAGGAGCACCACCAGCAGCAGCAGCAACACCAGAAGCACCACCAGCAACAGCAGCACCACCAGCAGCAGCAACAGCAGGCCCCACAGCAACCACAACCACACAAACGAGCGCATTCAAAGTCACCGCAGCCACAGCAACAACAACCACTGCAACAGCAACGCCAACAACAACATTCACCCGCTCCTGGCCAAAAACTGCTTAGCGAGAAATCGGATTATTCGATATCCGTCTGAGAAATAGGTAAGATCTGATCGCAAGATCAGCATATAGGATGAGACCAGGCCCCCTGATAGCCAGAAATTCAGCAGCAGCCTGGACGTTTTTGTACATTTTTATAATGCATTTGTTACCTAACCACCCGGCCCCTCTCCCCCTCCCCCCCCCCCCAAAAAAAAAAAATACAGTCCACCCTTTCGGAAATGCCTTGAACCCAGTACTAAACCCCTGCCCCAAAAAGAAAAGAAGAACACTCAGTCAACTTTCGGACAATCAGTATCAAAATTCTGCACCAACCATCCAAAACCAAACATACCGAATCAAAACACTTCCCATTATAAACTCCTGCCCGTATTTATAGAGGTCATACTACATCTAAGTATTAACGATTGTGCATGCTATATACCCACGTATAAGTATGTGAATGAATATGGCATGTGTCCAGAAAGAACCCAGGTCAGTTGTCGAACTTCCAGAAATGTTGTATGTATATATACTAACGTAGTCTCTTAAGTATCCGTAACGACTAATGCGTATATCACTCGAAACTGTAACTCAAACTACTAACTGCAAAACTATCGCAAACTATCGTATCGTATCGAATCAAATCGAATCGAACTGTTTTTCATCGTATGTAGAAAGGATGATCTTCTAAGTGTGGGTGTCTCGAATAGAAATGAGTGTTTGGCCTATACATACATAGCTACTCCTAAAGTAGATCTATAAGTTTCGGTTTTGTAGTGCACCAGGGCGATGAAACGAGGAATTTAATCTTGAAATTTCAACTAAACCAAAAACTCAGATATATGCTGTGTACAAATTTATATGAATGTATATTTAAATGTGTCCGTGTGCGTGTCTACGTTATGAGACAGTCGTGTGCTCATGTATATAGAATATATACCGAAATATACAATTGAAGAATACTCATCTAGTTGTTAGCGAATCCACGTACATGTAGAGTACTGAGCATATTTTGTAAATAATCAAAAGTAAAACCCTCAAAGGACTGACAATGATAAAGACGCATGACTCCGCTGAGAGAACTCACACAGACACCAAGTAAAGCCACAATGAAAATGTTAACTAAATGTATTCGATATAGCCGATGTACACACACTCGAATATGTCGCCAGCTGAATTTGAATTCAAAGCAGTATTCATAGAAAATATGACATTATATCGCAGTAACAGTAACAGTAACCACACTTTAGTGTTTCCATTACAATAAACTGTCATTCGTCGAGTTGTAGATAAATGTTTTTAAAAACGAAATAGAGGAAGAAACCAGATGAGCCTGTAGGAGAATCAAATACAAGTCGTAATCAAATTTCGAATTATTACAAACACTCAATCAAGCAGCAGAAAAAAAAAACCAAAGCCAAGTTAGGAGCAGACAAACAAACTACAAATTAATATAACTCTTAGTTCGTATCGAATAATCCAAATAATATGATTACATAGCTGTATTTTAACTAGCCTACGAAAGCATAAGGAAACCCATTAAACAGTCATATAAAATCGAGAAGCGAGAGGATCAGAGGGACGAATCGAACCCATTTTGGAAACCGTGTGCCAAAATTTGTTTTTAGACAAAGCTCTCTTAAATTACGAGTAAACAATAAATAATGCAAGCCATGAAAAGCGAGTAAATAGCAGCCATGAAATATGAACATACAAATTAGAGACACAGAATCCACAAAATAAAGTTGCAGATTAAGGTGTTCACTTGGGGGAATTTATTGGGCCCAAGCCTCAGCATAATTCTTTTGTCGCTCATTTCAAAATAAAACGAAAATTCACGAGCCAGCAGCACTCTTTGTTTATATAGCGATTGCGGCATTAACGCCGCAGCGGTTTTAGTCGGTTTTTATATGAATTTATTTGTACGAAGCAATGAAATGGTTTATTACATTTAACATCGAATTTTACGAATTTATTAAACAAACAGCAAGTTGCGACTGCAAGGAGCAACCTCACAGCAAAGTCTACAAATCAAAAGAAGAAATTAACTTAATAGATCACAATCAAAACGAGAACAAAACCAAGTACTTATACGAGGAGAAGAAACAATTTTTATGTTAAACATATAATTAGCACAACAACTACAAAATAAAAACTATTAATGTAAAAACAAACGGCATTTAAAAAATATAAGAAATATTTAAAAATAATAAAAGGGTTCTTTTTTCTTGGTTGTAGTTTTTAAACAAAGGTAAGGTAGAAGAAAATGCCTTTTCTATATTGTTCTTTAATTATTGATTCAAAACAAATTCTTGAAAAGTCGTCGAAAAGAAGAAACAGCAATAAGCCAACCCCGGAATAAGGCACATATATTTTATTTTTTTGTTATTAAATACCTCTACAACATAAAATAAAACTCTTAAAATTTTCATATAATATTTTTTATTTTTTTTGGATTTTTGTATGTGCACACTTAAGAGGTAATATGATATAATGAATAATACTGAAAGAAGCCAGGTACTCACACTGAAATCCGAACGGGCAGAGCCAGGGGCAGTGCTCGGGATCGTCGGGAGTCGGTGTAGGACCTGGAACGAGAACGCCCATGAGAACGACCACGCGAGTGACCACGGGAGCGACCGCGGGACCTGGAGCGATCCCGCTTGCGATCCTCCCGAATGTGTCTCCTCCTGGGCATGATCTCTTCCTTCTCGGCGAGAATCAGCTCGCAGTCACTGTTGCCGGAACTGGAACTGGAAGAGGAGCTAGAGTGATGGTGGCGACCATGTTTGGGTCCCCTGTGTCGACTTTTACCTCCTTTGGAACTTCGGTGCTTGGACTTGGTCTTCTTGGTAGAGTCCTGAGATTCCTGCTCCTTCTGAATTTGCTTCATTACATCGTTCAGCATTTTCTGAGCCATATTGGCCTTGCGGATGAGATTCTCCAGCGACGGGGTGGCGACCATGTCCTCTACTTCCACGGGCGTAGTTCGTGGCAGTTGGCCGCGGCAACCTTGACATGCCTCGGGCACAGGATTTGCCGCAGTTTGCTCACGTGCCGCGTTATCAGATTGCGACATTTTCGCACTAGTTTACACCTGACTCGATAAGAAATTCACTTAACACCTTGCTTTTAAGATTTATTGCTGCTGCTGGTGCGGATGTAACTGCTGCAACTGATGATATTGCTGCGGGAACTACTGATGTTGCTGCTGGTACTGTTGCTTCTATAACTATTACTGCTGCTTCACTTGAACTCTGGATTGTGACTGGCTTCTCTGGCACTTAGCTGCTAACCTTTTATAGGCAACTTTGGCGCCAAGCTTATCGCATTATAAACATTTGCATTTGTTTATCAGTCACATACTAATACAATTGTGCGATAAAGGTGACGTCATCGTAGCTATTTTTAGACAACAGGCTTTCGTAGAATTGGGAAAATGTTTTTATTGATCACGTGTTTTGGATGTTACATAATATCGTTAAGTCAATAGTAACCTCAAATGTATTTCATAGCCATACGAAATTTTTAATTTTCAAAATATCTGAAATAATTTCAAGTCAAGACTTAACGACGAATGCTTTCTTTTAAATAAATTGTTTATATGAAATATTTTTTTAACTTAATGACGTGATGGTTTTTGAATGGAGTATAATTGTTTCGTGGAATTGTAAAATACGACTGGTTCCATGCTTTAATATTTTCATTTACAATAGAGTCATCTAAAATATTTTATCGCAAACCATAGTGTATAATTTAATATTAAAATAAATAAAACGTTATAGATCATAGAAAAATGTTGTGTCTTAAAACATGTTTAATATTTAAAAATATTTTATAAACATAAGACGTTTTCATCAATTTTAAAACATTTTATAATGTATTAAGAAATGCCATTCATAAGCAATGTGCATACATTTTAAAAAAATTGATAAATTTAACATAGTTTTATTACTTAGAAAATTGTAAACAAATTTACAGGAACTTGGCTAATACGTATAATATAACGTATAAGATAGGGCCGTATAAAATCTGACACTTTTCTGGTATTTTTAAATTCGGTTTTGAAAAGTGCCCGCCAAGAATGCTACCTTAGAGAACCGGTTTCTTTATGTCTTTACCCAACATTTTAAGAAATTTGAGAATGAGTTTATATTTCATATTTGAAAGAATTCTTATATCACCTCTTCGCAAGTCGTATAAAAATAAAACAATTGAATTACCACTAAAAGATACTTTTTTCAGCAGGCAGATACATTTAACAGCGGGTGAGAGTTTACAGTGAGATATACCAGACAGTTAACAGCTTGAGAAAAAAACCCGAATTGGTATTTTTTCGTTACATTTATTCGGTTTCTCTAAAGATTCAAAAATCTATATAAGCAACCAGCACCCAGTTCTCTCTGTAATTTTTCGAGAGAGCGCTGCAGCGCGCGCTGTTTTCGGTTCCTATTAAAGATAATTTTAAAGAAACATCAATATTTCTTTAAAGCCTGCGGAGTTGCGGCATTTAACCGACATTTTTCGCCTTTTGCAAATCAACAGAAATATGGAAACTTAAAAGAAGTACATATAACCATGTACATTCTAGTTTAGTGAACATATTTATCGATTTAAATATTATTTAAACTTGTTGTTTTTCGTGAGTGGGCGCGTTTCCTTAACCAGCCGCTTTTCGATTTTCGTTTTTCCGACTTTCCTGCGCGCGGAACGGGTTTTCCTCCGAAGCCTTGCGGTCTTTTGGCTCTCAAGCTGCAAAAAAAACAAGGCTGAAAACTAAATTAAAACGACAGACTGGCATTTGCGGCAAATTAATCGATGTTGCGGCATGGACTTTTAATTCGCAGATTCATCATCGATTTTTCCTTTTGAGCTCAGCTGCAGTGCGCTAGTGTTGTGTATATGTGTGTGTATATGTGCGAGTCCTGGCAATACAAGTAAACCGTTGGGTTAGGTAAACGGAACAACAAAAGGAAGTGAACAAAGAGAGAGGGGACGAAGGGCAGAAAAGGACGAGTTCGAGTCCTTGAGTGATCACTGTTGCAGCTGTCACGAAAAAGAGCCTGTGTGTGTGCGTGTGGGAGAGAGTGGGAACAAGAACACCGGTGATAATTTCTCTCCCTCTTTCGCCGTGTTTGTGCATTCAATTTGCACAAAATTGAAACGACTCGCTAAATTCGCAAAATTTCCGTCCGCGAATTGCCATCCATTATTTTGCACTCCCCCCAAGAGAGCGAGAGCAATAATAGAATTATCAGGCAGCGTTGGAAAATAACAAATCCGAAAAGAGAATGCCCTGGGAGGCCGTAATGCCGCGACCCTCTGACATTTCCATCGTCGCCCACCAAAGGAACAACAACTGAGCAGCAAAAACATCAACTCGTCAAACAAACAAACAAACAAACAAAACAGCGAACGAGCGAATCAACGAACTAAACTCCAGCAGCCTCAACCGCTGGCACAGTTTTCCTCCTTAAACTCCAACTCCGTGGGTGAGTAACTACAGTAGAACACCACTAAGACGGGCATTTATAGGCTGCAGTTCAAAATTAAATTCCATACTATATTACAACTCCCCGAACTGCCTTACAAAAATGCAAATGGTTTAAAAATCTTTTATAAAAAATATTTCTGGGTCTTAGAAAATATTTTTACCATTTCACCATCATCATAAAGAAAATACCTTTGCAAAATAAGAATATCATATTTTGATATCATTTAGTGATATATAGGTTTTACATCTTATATCATTACAAAATCTCTGTATCAAGGAATATTAAGAATAGTTTTTTTAAGTTCAGAGGAGTATTGAACCCATCCCGAATTGGTTATAATCCAGATGGTAGTCCATCTTATTGAATCCCCACCGTAAGTCTTTGGCGGGTAGAAAGTGGTTATCGAATATGAGCTGCGTCTTAAGTTGAAACCACATTGTCGGATGGTTGAGGGGGTGGTTGTGGTGGGTCAGAGGTGGCAAGCCTCATGTCTTGGCGTCGTGTGGCTTTGGTTTTTAGCTGAAATTAAAAAGGTCAGGACCGACCCGTCTTGGGGCTACCGGACTTTGTATCCTAGCCACGTCGCCCGATTCATTATGCAGCGTTAACTTTGTATGTATATGCTTGTGGCAAGCGATGAATATAGTTTCAGTTGCATGACTTCGGCGATAATCGATTTTGAAGCGACGGAGCAATCAGGAAGAGTGCAATTTAATGTCAGTCCGTCATTCAGTCAGTCAGTCAAACAGTCACAACTTGAAGCACTGCAAAAAGTTATGCTCCGAAATGGGGGCCAACATGACGTGTTCGCGTTTAAGATACAACAAAAACGTTCAGCAAAAATCGAATGAGTTTCCTTTTTCTTACGAGTAATGATAGCCATTACAGTTTTTATGAACAAATTAGTTTAAAGATTATAATCTTTAGTTAAATCGAGTCGTTGTTTTGTGCAACATTTAAAGTATTATTTATTTTATAGAGTTAATTTTCAATTCAGGTATGGTCTTTTTTTCTTGTGTATTCCGGCCCATTTAAGTGGCGTTTACCATATTCATAAGCCTCGATTGATGGAGCAGCGGACATTGTAACCGTTACTCCATAATGCGACAATTTGTTACTTGGAGTGGGGGAGGGGTTGGTATAATGGAGAGTGAGTTCAGGAAAACGCTAATTAAACTTCAATTAATGCAGTTTCCGCTGAGAGTCGTAAGAAACAAGCCTCCGTTCTTGTGCTTTCCTCACACATCGTGTGACACATTTCGCTTTCCCACACGCCTTTCGTCCAATCGACGTATCAGCACCTTCCAGTTTTAGCACTCTTACCACTTTGGCTTCCCCACTCCCTCAAGATAAGCAGTGCATTTCCAGCGTATTTCCCCTGATAGCCGGCATATAAATGCCCGTTTAGCGGGCCTCCCAATAACAATGGAATTAATTTATGATAAACAAGTTTTTAAAGTGTGCGATATTTAACAGCTCTCTGATTCCAGCCTGTTTTTTTAGCAACATTCTCTCTGCCCCTTTGAAACTTGTCCAAATTTTGCATTGTTTATAATCAGTAACGGGGACTCAGATACGAACACATGTCTGAATGGTTTTCAAGGTCAGTTGAATGGCCAGATTTGCTTGGTTTTTGATTTGGCAACCCTTGAAATACGATAAACGAGGGCAAACAGCGCAGAATTCAGGCTGCAGCCTCATCTCGTCTTACCCCAGACAATGGGCATTCGGTTATTGCGTTTCAGAGGGTTCTGCCTTGGAGAACGGTTCTGGAACCCTGCCTGGAACCTTGCCAAAGCTCTCGAGACACGCGTTGACAATGAGCGAGGCTCTCAGGCGAGACTTTCAGGCGTCTCCAGATGCTTTTCACTCGCTTTGTCTGTGCCGCTTTCGGCTATTTGTGCACTGGGAGAAAATATCTAAGGTATAGGAATTAAACTAAGTTAGATATAGGAAAAAGATACCACAGCAAAATGTCATTGATGCATTCTTTTTATAACGAATAGCCCATTGCTTATCTACCGGACATATTTGTTTCCAAAAATATATTGTTATCATATCGGGAATTTATCTTAATGATAGCAAACAAATATTATTATCGGGTAACTCGTAAATTCTACAGAAATGTGGCTCAAATTTAGGATTTTTAAGGATTCTATTCTTTTAAATAAGAAATTAGAAAATGTTTTTTCTGATATATAACATTTTCTCACTGTGTTGCTGCCTCGGCTTTATGGATTGCCTCCAGTCAAGCTCAACTCTGAGCGGCGCTGGTCAATGGTCAAGACCGCTTTTCGCCCACCTCCCGCCACCAGTTTTTCCCCACTTTTGGCGGCGGAGAGTGTCGTGTGGCGCATGCCGCTGAAAAACTCCTCGGACCGTGAAGTACACCACTCATTGTTTTTACTCGCATTGGTATGAAAACTATGTGTATTATGGCATGTCGTAAAGAGCCATTTTCTTGATATCCAAACTGTTAAGAGACCAAGTTGCCATAGGCCAAGTATCCGAACATTGCGATGGAGATCGGACCGCAGCCGCAATCCCGACTTTCTCCGTCATATGACAAATAATTTTAGTAGTTGGCGTAATTGCCAACGCAATGAGTTGTTAATTAAGCCGGAGAGTTTCACAAAGAGAGCGCTGCAGCGGCGAGTGGGATAATGGGTAAGAGAAGTACTAGTCACCATCACCATTTCATTTCATTCCGGTCTACGCCGGTCTATTCCGGTTCGCATTCGGACCAGGCCAACGCACGATATTCCGCCCTCAGCAGTTCCG